TTCATTCATAAAACTTTCGGAAAGGTCAAGCGTGAACAGTCGCGTCCTTCATGAGTAATCGTTATCGTTATATTCAAACTTCTTAATGATACGTTTTTCGTAATCGTTACTGTGATATTGCTTAATAGCTTAATTATTTCCGTCGTACAACTTGTCGATTGACAAAGCAGTTTTTAATTTTTTTTCCTTGCTCGCCAGATGCGGAGACGATCGCGGGTGATACGACACCGCGCTTTACCCTTTGCTCTTTCCGGCGCCGGCTGGCAATGTCAATGATCTGGGATCGAGAATACGAGGCATCGGCCTCTTCTCCTTTTCGCGTGTGGCCCTTCCCTCTCACGCACGCACGCACACGCGTGCGTGCGGCGGGCGTTTATAGAAGAGGCGCACGCTCCGGCATCCCTCCGGAGCCGCTCCAAGAATTTCACGGCTTTCCCGTGCCGCTTTACGTCAGTGGCACGCTGATCCCGCGACGAGCCGGAAGCGATCGGGTTGTCCCCAGAATAGGTCCGCTCGAGAGAAAATAAAACCTTTACGACGGTGTAAAATTGATTATTAGAGAAGCGTAATCAGTTATCTTTGTTGTACATTATTGTCGTCGGGATCCTCCGAATATTGAAGAGCACCATTGAAGATATTTCCATCGATACCATGGCCGTGGAAAATAACGCTAACGGTAAGCGACGATTCTTCTGTCGACTCTTCGTAAAATGAAGATTTTAATTCTACAATATTCTAAAATTTTGATTTAATTCTACAAATGTAATTTAAAATTATGAAACGTTAAAAGGAAAAATAATGAAAAAATTATTTAGAAGAGATATAAATATATCTTATATTATTAGTTTTTACTAATCGTATTTGCTAAATTATGTTTCTTAAACTCTACTTACATCGTATGCATAATAAATTGCATCATATTTAACTTCTTCAAAAAATATATAAGATAACTCTGATTTTAAGGACGCCTTTCGACCTTGACGCGTCCTCTATCCCAGATCGATATTCGGAAGCACCTAGGAGCTTTCAGCTAATTTTGTCGATTAAAAATAAATTTTTTCTGGATTGACATTTAACCGATTCGCGACATATATATGTGTGCCGAAATATGATGACGCAACGCTGTGCAAGTACCGACAAGTGCTTTATCATATTTCTACGAATTTTCGTAATCTCGAAGGCGCAAAGAGATTCGCGGGATACGATTAAATTCAAATAAAATAAATTTATTAATTGCGCGAGGAAACATTGAACCGCGATCGTTACATCAAAACTACGGAATTGCATCAGGATGACATCGCATTCGAAGCGGGATATTGTCCCGCATGTCAGCGCGCAAACACATTCTCGTTCTTAAAATAATCTCGTGGGTACGCCTTCAAACATACGAAATCGATCTCGCGTCAAGCCAAACGCAAAAAATACATGGTATAAAATCAAAGAATATTCCGTTCGTGAATACGTATGAAAATGTTTTCAATTTAGAAAACTTATTTTCGAAGCTGTCGTTCTCCCCGCCGTAGAAAACAGTTCTCGTTCATATAAAAATATGTTAGTGTTTTGGTTCAAACAGTTGTACCATAATTCTGTCGTGGCGTTTCGAACGAGAGAGCATTTACGGGCCGGTTACTTTAGGCAGGCGACAAGTGCCATGTGCAACTCGTCACGTACTCGTGAAAGTAAGAGTTGAAAATCTGAAACGTGATTCACGAAGTATAATTGCTCGTCGTCGCGATCGAAGCGAACTTCTTGCGCGATAAACCAGATGATAAAGAAATAAGTTCAATTATTCGAATATCATTTAATTTTCGTTGCGGAAAAAATGAAAGAAAAATTGAAAATCTGAAGCTTAGTTTCAGCAAAATATAAAATTATAATCTAATATTAAAATTAAAGAAATATGATGAAGATAATTGCCTTCCATCAATCTTGTATTTAAAAAACATCTTATTATAAAATTATTTATTTCTTATTTTTATAGGAGGAAACCGAACGCTCTTTCGGTTTCGATATTTGATGGCCGTTATGGGCTCAATTGGCCTCGCTATCCTTTATGGCTTTAAAGTCAATGCCAGCGTGGCTATCGTCGCTATGGTGAACCATACAGCTGTTAAATCATACACCAAATTATCTTCGTCGAACGATTCAGAAACTAACAATACCACGCTAACGAGCACGAACATTTGCCAGTTTGATGATGCCTCAAACACCACGACGATCAAAGGCGAGGTGTGTGATGATATGTTATGTAAAGATTTATGCGCGTGTAATTTTCATAACGTGGCTTCAGCAAAAGACCTTAGAATTTTAATAAAAAGAAAAGAGAAAGAAAAATGCTAATATATTACTGCATCTTTTCAGGACGGTCCGTTTGTATGGAACGAACTTATTCAGGGTCTTATTCTGTCTTCCTATTTCTGGGGCTACACGGTATCCATGTTACCGGGTGGAAGATTGGCGGAACTCTGGTCAGCTAAGTGGCTGATGAACGTATCGGTCCTGTTGAATGTCGCCGCGTCCATCCTGACGCCCGTCGCCGCGCGCATTCACTACTGGCTCTTCATAGCTATGAGATTTCTTCAAGGAATCGGTGGTGTTAGTAGCGCGACTTTTGTTATATCAACAGATACCACGTTCCAATACGATTCTAATTTTGAACGCTTGAATTACAGGGTGTATCGTTCCCCGCTATGCACGTGATGATCGCAAAGTGGGCGCCGCCGAATGAAAGAAGCGTCATCGCCTCGATCGTGTATGCAGGTAAGAAAAGGAAATTACAGAAGACGTTCATTTTTGCGAAGTTCTGACAATATATCCCAGAATCTTTCATCGTGATTCTTTCGAGGTCTGTAATTACAAAGCGAAAATTGTAACGATAGCTGCGCTTCTTTCTCGATAAGGTTCTAATAAAAATCATAATATATATATCAGATACGTGGAACTTTTCGAATAAATGGTAAGTTTTACTATCAGAAAAAGATTAAGTTGAGAAATTTTTAGGGACAGCACTCGGCACCGTGATTTCCATCTTACTGACCGGATTGCTGGCTGCGAATTTAGGATGGGAGTCCATCTTCTACGTTGAAGGCGCGCTTTGCCTAATTTGGTGCACTCTTTGGTGGCTGACGATAGCAGATTCCCCGGAAGAACAGACGAGATTCATCACTCAAGAGGAAAAGAGCTATATCATCACGTCTTTGGGAGGACACAAAAAGAATATTCCCAAACGGGTACATTAAGAATTAAAGGCGTTAAATTAAAAAATTCTTTTTTTCTTTTATCCGCATTTATTGCAGGTTCCATGGCTGCAAGTATTTCGTTCCAAACCGTTCATGGCGATCCTGATCGCCCATTTCTGCAGCAATTTCGGCTGGTACATGCTGCTCATCGAACTGCCCACCTTTATGAATCAGATTCTGAAGTTTGATATGAGCTCGGTAAGCTCTAAGATTCGTTATAATACATACAATTTAACACATTTATAAGTTAATTTGCTCGTGCATCAGAATGCAGGTTTGTCATCCATCCCGTTTTTGGGCATGTGGCTCTTCACCATGATTCTCAGCAAATTATTAGCCATCCTGCAGGAGAAACGTCTAATCACAGTAACAATATCTAGAAAAATCGGCACTCTCTTTGGTATGTTTAACACTAAAAATCTAATTTTCAGAGATCTTTCAAAAAAAGATTAACTTTGATTTAGATATTTGCACTACATGTAAAAAATATAACAGCGTAAATTTTTTAATATCTTATATAGCTCTAATATCTTATATACTTTTATTGTTTCTAAATGCACCTTTTCAAATGGAATTTCAAAACTGTTACAGCGTCGTTCGTACCCATGGTATGCTTAATACAGGTGTCGTACGTCGGGTGCGACCGCATGAAAGCAGTCGTGTTGATGACGATCGCGGTGACTTGTATCGGCGGAATGTATTGTGGTTTCCTGGCAAACCACATAGACATCGCACCGAACTTTGCCGGTAGCTTGGTAGCGATGACAAACTTCGTCGCCACCATACCCGGCTTTGTCGTGCCGATATTCGTGGGACAATTGACTCACGGAAACGTAAGTAACAAAGTAAAGGGATTTCTAAAGTTGCAGATTGGAAAGAGAACATTTGGACCAAATTATTTCCAAAGAAATATAGTCCTTTATTAAATGAACTCTTCTCTACTTCGCTGATTATGGCGATTACGCTGATTCGATCGGCGTACCTTGATTTTGTTTTATTATTTACAGCAAACCATAGAGGCGTGGAGGATTATATTCCTCGTAACGATCATTCTATATGTAATTGAGATATTGGTTTACACTATCTTTGGGAGCGGCAACGAACAACCATGGAATCAGATTGAAGGATCACCTGACGAGGAAGCGAACGACCAGACGCTACCTTTAAGAAGTAATAATACAAAATAGAAAATTATATCATGGCTTAATTTATGATTAATTATTCATGTTTCATGATAATTTTGTATGTATGTTATATTCTGCGTATTTTTACCACGATAGGGTAAGTTCATTAATATTTTACAGTTTTCCATATAGTTACATAAGATTATAAAAAAAGTGAAAGGTTTATTTCATTATATGTAAAATATATATTATTTATTCACATTACATAATAATTTAATAGTCTACAATAAAGTCAACAAAATCTCTAGATCTTAAATTATTTGCATACACTCACCTATCATTACCGCGTTCGTATTATTTTACAAAAGTACATGGGACCCCAATTATTACTGAGCGTAGGAATGGCGATATGGCCGTATTTTAGTCCAAAATTGCCGAATCTATAAAGGCATCTCAATGGATCCAGCGCTTCCCTCATATCTCTGTCTCAGCGAATAGTGTCGTTAATATAAAATGACAGTCAGATAATAACGAATTGTCACATATACGAAAAATGCTTACTTTACAATCATAACAGAATTAGTTTCCTCCCAGGCTTTTTTCAGCGCCATGCCGACGACACCGTCGTTTTGAATGGGACTGAGAGAACACGTAGAATACACGACCGTTCCACCAACTGATATTATCTTCAACGCATTACTGTAACGCAGACAATTATTTGATAGAGAAGAATAACCAGACACATTTATAATAGAGTATCGAATTTCGTACGCACGTTAAAATGGCCGCTTGCAACTCCGGTATCTTTAATCTCTCCCGCACCCTCTGCGGCTTGAAGATATTGTTCTCTTCCGAATGCAAAACGTGCCTATCCGTGGTGCATGGCACATCCACCAATATCTGTGAAGAAATAACTGGTATAAGAATTTCTGCGAGAAAATCATAAATTTTCTGCGTATTACCTTGTTGAACATATCTTTGTCGTTGATAAATCTTGCATCTCGCTCTGTCACAAACAATCTGTTTTCCCACTGGCCGATGCCGGCTGTATATTCGTCTATGACTTTGCGGATCCTCTGCACTCGGGACTTTTGGACGTCATTAGCAACCATCATATGCGGCATAAGCGTCTGAAGAATGCTCAGAGTCTTCCCTCCTGGTGCCGCGCACATGTCTAGTACAACGTCACTAGATTGCAGGTCTAAGGCCAACACTGGTAACACAGAGGCACCATCCAGAAGATAATAATCTATAAAACACAATCGTGATGTTCGTCAATCGAAATTAGGCAACGAAATTAGATTCTAGTTAAAGTTAACCAACCTAAGACGCCAGTTGATCCTTTCTTTGGGGATGGAAATCTGCTGTCGTTGTCTTCCTCAAACGTATAGATGTTGAGATACTCCGGAAACGTTAACACTACCTCCTTCTCAATGTTTACCGAAAATTCCGAGCCCTCTTTGTAATAGCCATAGTGCTGTGACTCCAATATCCAATCTTCCATGCCTGAAAAATAATATAAAAACGCATATTACAATGACATTTCTACGTCTGACGACATTTGTATTTTCAGATTCTTGCAGTATTGGGGTTACCCTTAAGTTTCGTGGCTGGTACAAATTCATATAATCCGCTCAAGTTGGCGTTGGGATGCACGATTCGATTTTCGTCCAAAGCAACTTCATTCAAATCTGATTCAATAGGTTTCATTTTTACAGGCTGCAACGGTTGATCCTCCGGCGTGATACCTCTCTCTTCATCATCGTCTGTACTTAGAGATGTAGGTGATGCATAATCTGTGGGATAATTTGACTGCACCATTGATATCTCAGCGTCAGAAATCACAGACTCCATTCGACTTCTTCCTTGCTTTGCCTTTTTCCTCTTCTTATACATGGTTGGATTTTCGTCGATGTGTTCCTTGTAGGTTTCATAAATTGTTCTTAGATTCATGGCACCTTGGGACTGGAGGGAAGACCAAATGTCAGCAAAAATCGTAATATCTTCAATAATACTTTACCATATAAGAAGACGAATATACCTCTAATTCTGACTTTATTCTGTCCATGTCGCTGAAGCTGTTCACAACAGCCATGTACTTGTGCTCTTCCGCTAGTAACGCAGTTTTTATATTTTCCCACGACTTTCCATAGACATTACCATAGAACTCGTCGAAGTGTTTCAGCGCCCTGCCCATATGCGTCTTTTTCCTTCTAACCACAGCCTAGGCAAAGAGGAAAAAAAAAAAGAATTAAACGGATGGATGTTGCATTCAAGAGCCTTACAAATGTTTATTCTGTATTTACAATTGGACAGTAATTAGTTATGATATTAAAAAAACTATATATATAAACAAATAAAAAAATAAACGAAATTACAGTAAAAAATAAGTAAAATTATAACAATCTATACAATAGATTTATTCATTAGAAAGATGCAATAGAGCATGAAAATTATGGAGCACAGTGTGAGACACTTACCCAGTGATCCGCTTTATGACCGTATCTGGCGACCTGCATCCTAGCCAGTTCTCTGCTCGCCAATCTATTAAACAAATGTGCCATTTTTTCATAGTAAACTTATATCCGATTATTTAAATCAACTCTCGCCGTAAAGTTCCATCCTAACCTCTCCTAACCACGCACGATTCTACCGAGCAAGGAAAAATATCAGCAGTGGGGGAGAGCGGCGGCGCGGCGTAACCTAATAACCAATCGCAAATCTTTCTCGACCTGCAGCGGCCAATCGGACTGCGCCTCAGATACATAAGCGACGAACGATCTACCGGACTAGTACCGGATCTAGAGAGTTTTTAGTCCTGGCTCGCGAGTCGCGAAACTCGGAGGGAAGGTGAATGTCTCGTCGGCGTCGTGCATGTTCGCTGTTTGCAACTTTGCGTGATTTCGAGTAAGTAATTTGCAGCGAGTGTGTCGAAATAGCGTATTCCGTGTTACAGCGAAATTATTACAGCTCGGTGTGAAAGGAGAAGGTTAAGGAAGGCCAAGGAGTCCGCGCGATATCGAGGAAAGGCACTCTTAACCTCCCGGCCCGGCCATGGAGAAGTCGCAGAAGATGCCGAAGGTGGCGAAGGTGAAGAACAAGGCGCCCGCGGAGATACAGATCACCGCGGAGCAGCTGCTGCGCGAGGCGAAGGAGCGCGACCTCGAGATCCTGCCGCCGCCGCCGAAGCAGAAGATCTCGGATCCGCACGAGCTCGCGGACTACCAGCACCGCAAGCGCAAGGCGTTCGAGGACATCATCCGCAAGAACCGCATGATCATCACGAACTGGATGAAGTACGCGCAATGGGAGGAGAGCCAGAAGCAGATACAGCGGGCGAGGTCCATCTACGAGCGGGCGCTCGAGGTGGATCACCGCAACATCGCGCTCTGGCTCAAGTACACGGAGATGGAGATGCGCAATCGGCAGGTGAACCACGCCAGGAATCTCTGGGATCGTGCGGTCACCCTGCTGCCGCGCGCCAATCAATTCTGGTACAAGTACACCTACATGGAGGAGACCCTGGAGAACATCGCCGGAGCACGCCAGGTGTTCGAGCGGTGGATGCAGTGGGAACCGGACGAGCAGGCATGGCAGACGTACATCAAGTTCGAGCTGCGATACAAGGAGATCGACCGGGCGCGACAGATCTACGAGCGCTTCGTCATGGTCCATCCGGACGTGAAGCACTGGATTAAGTACGCCCGCTTCGAGGAGTCGTACGGGTTCATCAAGGGCGCGCGCGCGGTTTACGAGCGCGCCGTTAATTTCTACGGCGACGAGAGCCTGGACGAGAAGCTGTTCCTGGCGTTCGCGAGATTCGAGGAGGGCCAACGGGAGCACGACCGGGCCCGCATAATCTACAAGTACGCCCTGGAGAACATCCCGAAGAGCAACACCCAGGAGATTTACAAGGCGTACACGATCCACGAGAAGAAGTACGGCGATCGCTCGGGTATCGAGGACGTGATAGTCAGCAAGCGAAAGCACCAGTACGAGCAGGAGATCAAGGAGAACCCCTCGAATTACGACGCGTGGTTCGACTATCTGAGATTGGTCGAATCGGAAGGTAACGTCGACGTGATCCGCGAGACGTACGAGCGAGCGATCGCCAACGTGCCGCCCACCAAGGAGAAGCAATTCTGGCGGAGGTACATCTACCTGTGGATCAAGTACGCTCTCTTCGAAGAGCTGGAGGCCAAGGACGTCGAGCGGTGTCGGCAGGTGTACAAGGTGTGCCTGGAGCTCATACCGCACAAGCGTTTCACCTTCTCGAAGATCTGGCTGCTTTACGCGTACTTCGAGATACGGCAGAAGGATTTGAGCAAGGCGAGAAAGACGCTGGGCCTGGCACTTGGTATATGCCCGACCGACAAGCTTTATCGGGGCTACATCGACCTCGAGATACAGCTGGTGGAGTTCGACCGGTGCCGCAAGCTGTACGAGAAGTTCATCGAGTTCGGGCCGGAGAACTGCACCACGTGGATGCGATTCGCCGAGTTGGAGACGCGACTGGGCGAGACAGATCGCGCCCGGTCGATATACGAGTTCGCTGTCGCGCGGCCGCGGCTGGACATGCCGGAGCTGCTGTGGAAGTCGTACATCGACTTCGAGATCGCCCAGGGCGAAACGGAGAACGCCCGGCAGCTGTTCGAGCGGTTGCTGGAGCGCACGTTGCACGTCAAGGTCTGGATAGCGTATGCTAAATTCGAACTGCTGAATCCGCAGCTGGAGGACAGCCCCGACAACGTCATCTTGGCGAGGCGGATCTTCGAGCGCGGAAACGACGCCCTGAGATCCAACGGCGACACCGAGAGTCGGGTGTTACTGTTGGAAGCCTGGAAGGACTTCGAGAGCGAGAAAGGCACCCCCGAGACTCTCGCGAAGATCACGGAGAAGATGCCGCGCAGGGTGAAGAAGAAGAGGCGCGTCGTAGGCGAGGACGGCAGCGACGACGGCTGGGAGGAGGTCTTCGACTTCGTATTTCCAGAGGACGAGTCGCAGAGGCCGAACCTCAAGTTCCTGGCCTCGGCGAAGGCGTGGAAAAAGCAGACCGAGCAAGCTCAGTCTTGAGACGGTTAAATTCCGCTGTTACAAAAAAGAGCGAAGCGCAACAATTAAAAGACTTGTAGAAATTAAGACTTGAGATTAAGAGAATTCTCTAAGACTCCCCCGTAACTGCAAAAGTCGCGCATATTTTATATTTTATATTACTCTGGATAAATGAGAGAGCGTGACAAATAGGATTTTTTATCTTTATGTGTATATAAAACTGTGATATATTTTGCTATCGTGAGAAACATCTGTTTGTGTACATCACGTTTTATTATGGATGTAAATAGCTTGTGTGTGTATATATAAAATTTCATGTAATTTATAATAAATGTAAAATGTATATATATTGTTCGAAGACTCCTAGTCTTCACATTAAGTTCAATCACACTTTCGTTTTGCTTGCAACTTTAGCTAAATGAAATGATACATTACACGATTCCGTTTAAAATTTAATCAATTTAAGGATACAATAGTAAAAGATGCGAGAAATTTTACTATTATTCAGTTTGAGCACAATTTTTAGGATGCTACGGAAAATTTAAGAATGGTTTTGAAGATCTTGATTTGATATCTATGAAAGAAATAAACATTGTGCATAGTGTATGCATATCGCAATCGTGAATTAAGTAATATTGCTTTTTGTCGTTTAACAGCTCAGCATAATAATAATGTGTCTTATTAGCATCATGTTACTGTATAGTTAATAAATAAATAAGTAAAATGCATCTAATCTCCAGTTCAAAACTACTTTAGATTTCTGTAGGACTGTTTGCAAATATACGGTTTAAAGAAATCAATTAATTAATCAATTTTTCATTTTTTTTCTTTAATTAATTTATTTTCATTTATTTTAATTTACAGTTATTTGTTTACATTGTTACAATAATTTACAATTTACATTATTTTTTTAACGGCTCAAAGTAATATCAAGTTACAGCTAGATGGCGCATGCTATCCGCAAGTCGTGTTTCCGCGACTCGAACGAAGTAGATTACCGCCGACAGATAACGCTACTGGTGCGCGTTTTAATTCATAGCGCGACAGTGCGACTTGCGATGCGATTCACCGTTAGTGTATCTGTGTATCTCAGTGCATCTGTATACGAGCGAGAGGGTGGAATAAAGAGGGATAGAAAGGATTACAGTGGTGAGTGGAGGGACGACCGGAGCGGAGCGGAGTGGAGCGGAGGAAGAGAAGGGCGTGAATCGCGCGAGCACGCAGGTAAGGAGAAACGAGCGAGCGCGAATCCATGAGTTACGGTACTACCCGTGCTATACTCGCGTTGTTTTTGTTTATCATCCTTTCGATTCTCCGCGCGCGGCTCGCGTCGCGACGGAGACGCCGGCGCCGCCGCGTGTAGCGCATGGCGAGAGCGGCTGGCGCTTGTCCGCTCCAACGTTCCGCGTACTTTGAATACTCTTCGACTATACTCTTGCGCGCCATGTCCCCGATAGCTATATGTATATTCTCGACAAATCGGATTCGCGACATATATCCTCGCGTTCCACGAAATGTCGAATTTAGGACGCCGAGGGGGGGGGGAAGGGAGGAAGGTAGCAGAACAAGGTGGTTGCTCCCCCCCCTCCCCCCGAAGGAGTTTGAAAGTCGATGCTACCGTACACGAAAAGCGAGCTCCGTTTCCTAGTTAGAGATCAGGTCGTTCACACCTGCGCGCCGCGATGAGGCACCATCACACAATCCCGTCAACCGCCATTCATTATTCACAGACGCGCCTAAGATCTTCCCTTATCGGACTACCTCGAAAAGGCTATAAATAGCACGAATGACTCTCGAGTTTCTATTACAAGACTTCGCCTCCCCTCCCCCGCCTTCCTTTTCCCCCCTAAACGTCCCTTTCCCCCTAACCGTCCCTCCGCGCGCCGACCCCTCGAGTTTCAAATGGATTTCCACCGCGCTCGCGCGCGCGCGCGCGCGCGCGGCTCGACCTATCGTGACGAGCCAGGAAACAGAACAGGTAAATACGCCATCCGCGCGCGTTATCAAACGTCGACGGCGGCGACGAGGAAGCGACGTATTTGTCGCGGCATGGTTCGCGCGCGCGGGCGAGCGAGCGAGCGAGCGCGCGGGACGTAAGGGTTAGGGGGGTGGGAGCATGGGGGCATGGGGGGGGAGGGTGCGCAGAGCGAGGCCACACCACATCCGAGTGATCCCGAGTCTCCCTCCCGGGTGAGGACTGAGGAGGCGGGCGGGCGAGCGCGGAGAGCGCGCGGCATGTGAAACGTGGCTGTTTCGAAAGTCCCTGCGCGCGTTAGCGCGCCTATTTTAGACGCGCGGGGCGCTTTGTCGAGACGCGTCGCGCCGCGAGAGATCGAGCCCCGGTTTCTGTACTCGCCGACGGGCGAGAATGTCGGGGAGGGGGGGGGGGGGGGGGGGAGGGATTATTACGCACGGATCGAAAACGAGGGGATTTCGTGTGCCCCGCTGGAGGATCCGCGCGGTACCGAGAATCTACCCAGACAGCACCGTGTCAAAAATCGGGACGTAAGACGTCTTAAAGACGTCTTTGTGACGATTTTGGACAAGCGTGCTGTCTGGGTAAGAATCAATCTGGAATTAGATGTCGGAGGTCACAAATCGAGAAAAGAAAGTCAAGTTATTCATACTTTGTCGAATATATATGACATTGAGAATTTGTACCGAGATTATGGGGCTATAATCTCGTGGGCGATCTCTCTCTCTCTCTCTCGCGACTTTCTTCTCGATTTCTTCGCCTGACCGAACCGATAACCCCGTAACCCTCGAAACGGCAGCCAGCGGTGAGAGTCTTCTCTTCGCTAGACTCGCCGACGACGCGCGACGGGAGGAGGCTGGAGGAGCGAGAGATGAGGAACGCGTCGTCCTCCTCTCCGCCTTCTCGAGATTTCGCCACCGTCGGCACGAAGACAAAACGGGGTACGCCCGGCACCCCGTCGTCGACACGCGAGAGACGTGTGCGTGTGACTTCCCTGAACCCTTCTCCTCGCTCCCCCACCCCCCCCGTCCCCTCGATGAGTCTCGACGACCCGAATCGCCTCGACGGCGAGGCTGGTTTCGTGGATCTCTTCATGAGAGGCACGTCGTGCGCGATTTGTCGAGGGAGAGAGATAGGAGGAAGGGTGGAGGGGGGAGGGCACGGGGTGTGACGGGACTCGGGGGGTTCGTAAAGGCAATGCACTGTAAGGAGCTCACCAACGACCGTACCCTCCCTTTCTCCTTCTTGCCTCTTCCCCCTCTATGTCTCTCTCTCTCTCTTTCTGACTTCTCGGTCTCTCGCTCTCTCTCTCTCTCTCTCTCCTCTCGTCGCGCGACTTTCTCTCTGTCCCGCTCTTTGATTCCTCGTCTCTTCATCTCGGTCTCTCTCGTCGCGCCTCTTCCCTCCTTTCTCTCTCCCCTCCGTCTCTCTTTCTCTCTCGGTGCCCTCTTTCCTCCCTTCCCCCTCGCTCTATCTTTCTCTTCCTCATTCTATGATTTCTTGTCGGTCCCTCTCGCTTTATCACCGCCTCCTCTCTTTCCCTCTCTCTTCGCCCCTATCTGTCTATCCTTCGGCCGTTCTGTGCCCCCCTTCTCTCTGTTCCCCTATCTCTTCCTTTCTCTGCCGCCCTCTCGTTCGAGGAGGGCGCGTTGGGGCGCGCTCCGCTACTTGCGCATCACTCGTGAATAACCGTCCCGACTCGAGCCGATCTTCGACTCGAGGGATCTCTCTCGCTCGGATGATCCAAGGCTCCTCTTTTTCTTTCTTTCTTCTTTTCAAGTCGATTTCTTTAGCCGCGATTTTAAAGTCGGGGAACGGGATCGGCCGATACGCCGATACGCTTTTAGAGCATTCCGCGTACACTTAAAATTAAGGTCAAGCGGAGTCGCTCTCGAGGGACCGACGAGACTAAATACTCATCCTTATCGCCGGAGAATCGCCGTGTCGCGTTTCGTCTACCGCGAACGGCGGACGCCAATTATTATCGGTCGCTTCGCGATCCAAATTCATAATCGAAAGTGTTATGTGGATTCGCCGAGATTTCAGGTCGGCAGGCGAGAGAGTGCATCACGCGCATGTGCACGCGGAGCGGGACGTCCGGGGCCAAAGGACTCGGAAGTTACGACATCCGGCGCACAATGCCGCTTCCTGTCACTCCGCGACCTTTGATCTCCGTCTGTCCCACGTGCGATGCGATGCCACCTCGTTCACATGTACAATAACGCCGTATGACGAGGCGCCGCGCCGCGCCGCGCCGCGGTAGCGAATTCCCGTGGCGATCGATGCGTGGCAGAAGGAAACGGAATTGCGATAATCGGATGAGAGACAACGTGCGTGCATATACGTAATTCGAAAGTTACGCAAGTCTTGAAAACTCCAGAAGCAGCCACGAGAACGCGAGATATTGTACACCTAGACAGAAAACGGAATGATACTTTTTGCGCGGTACTTTTTTTTATTAATGATTGTCGCTCCGCTCGAATAACGGTATTCAATCGAATAAACAACGGTATACAGAAAATGATCGGGAGGGGGTTTATCCACCGTTCTCGAAAGTCGGGGCTTTTCATGCCCGCGCCGCGGCGGGGCGGGGAAGAGACTTATTTCCACACGCGCCGCGCCGCTGATCCGATTTCAAAGGCGTCGACAATGGTTGATTGATTCCTTTGGATCTCGTCACGCGCGGTTCGCCGGAGAAAGGCTTGGCGAGAGGACCGGGGATCCTGGGGCCCCTTATTTACCGTTGCCGGTAGGGTCCAATCCTCTGGGCACGTCACGTGCCGTGCCATGCCATACCATGCCATGCCATACCATGCCATACCAATGCCATATATACCGAGACGAGCCGAGAGTTGCGTACATACATACATTGCCGCCGTGCGTTGTCGGGGTCGTTGAACGAGCCAGGGGGTACTCACGACGACGAGGACGACAGTAACGACCGACCGAGCGCGAGCGAGCGCCAACCCACTTGCGCCGACCCTGGACGCGAGTCACGTGCGTACGTGTACATACAGAGACCGGCAATAATGCGACCCGGAGGGTGTGACCCGTTCCACATGTCCGACTCTCGCTCTCTCTCTCTCTTTCTCTCTCTTTCTCCTTTTTCGTGCTGAACTCGAAGAATACAGACGAGAAAGATTAAATCCCCCAAATTGACATCATCTCGCGTTATACAAAACACTGGTATATCATCGGCTAGATTTATCCTAAGTTTGTTGATCTTCATGTTTTCTGTGTCTAGCCAGGACACGTATTATAGAACTTTTTGGAATGAATTCCGATCGGAATTGTTATTAGGTATTTCCTAGATTTCTATTGTGTTTTCTTGGGAAAACGGAATAACTCCGAGATCGGAATCAATTTCG